ACTGACACCAATGATGGGGCACTATTCCTCCCACTGACACCAACGATGGGGGCAACTATTCCTCCCCCCCCCACTGACACCAATGATGGGGGGGCACTATTCCCCCCCCCCCACTGACACCAATGATGGGGCACTATTCCACCCCCCACTGACACCAATGATGGGGCACTATTCCACCCCCCACTGACACCAATGATGGGACACCATTTCCCCCACTGACCAATGTTGGGGACACTATTCCTCCCACTGACACCAATGATGGGGGCACTATTCCCCCCACTGATACTAATGATGGGGCACTATTCCTGCCACTGATACCAATGATGGGGCACTATTCCGCCACTGATACCAATGATGGGGCACGGCACCTATTCCCCCACTGATACTAAATGATGGGGCACTATTCCTGCCACTGATACCAATGATGGGGCACTATTCCTCCCACTGATACCATGATGGGACACTATTCCTCCCAACTGATACCAATGATGGGGGCACTATTCCTCCCACTGATACCAATGATGGGGGCACTATTCCTCCCACTGACACCATTGATGGGGCACCTATTCCCCCACTGATACTAATGATGGGGCACTATTCCTCCACTGATACCAATGATGGGGCACTATTGCCTCCACTGATACCAATGATGGGGTAGGGTACTATGCCTCCCACTGATACTATGGATGGGGGGCACTATTGCCTCCCACTGATACAAACGATTGGTTGGCGGAACTACGGCATTCATGCCACGATGGGCACTATTCCCCCCACTGATACCAATGATGGGGCACTATTCCTCCCACTGATTACTAATGATGGGGCACTATTTCCTGCCACTGATACCAGTGATGGGGCACCTATTCCCCCCACTGATACTAATGATGGGGCACTATTCCTCCACTGATACCAAAGATGGGGCACTATTCCTGCCACTGATACCAATGATGGGGCACCTATTCCCACCACTGCCATTTACTAATGAAGGGGGCACTATTCCTCCCACTGATACCAATGATGGGGCACTATTCCTCCCACTGATGGGGCACCAATGATGGGGCACTATTCCTCCCACTGACACCAATGATGGGGCAACCCCAATATTCATTCCACTGACATCAGATGAGCTGGGACACCTATTCCTCCCACTGACACCAATGATGGGGCACTATTCCTCCCACTGACACCAATGATGGGGCACTATTCCTCCCACTGACACCAACACCTGATGGGGCACTATTCCTCCCACTGACACCGATGATGATGGGGTCACTATTCCTCCACTGGTTTGCACTGGAAGAGGGGTAGTCTGATATACGGCGAGTATAGCCCAAACACTACATTTTAGCAGGAAAAGTAGGGGGTCGTCTTATACGCCCAGTCGTCTTATACGCCGGCAAATATGGTATATATATAACATATACCATGTTTCCCCGAAAATAAGACACTGTCTTATATTAATTTTAGGTTAAAAAAAATGCACTAGGACTTATTTTTCGGGTAGGTCTTATTTTTATTGACACCCCTCCAGATCCGACGATCCCAGCAGTAGTCCAATCCATTATCCTCCCCAATCCGCAGATCCGATCCATCCTGCAGGGAGCGTCAGCTTGCAACTTAACTGATCTCTCCACCAGGGTCCACAAAAAGGTACATTTTAAAACAAGCCCCCTCTATCTCTGCCTTCTCTCTTTCTCTATCTCTGCCTTCTCTGTCTCTCTCTCTGCCTTCTCTCTCTCTGCCCCCCCTCTCTCGCTCTCTCTCTCCCTCCTCTGAGCCCCCCTCTCTTTGCCTCTCCCTCTCTGCCACCTCTCTCTCTCTCTGCCTTCTCTCTCTCCCCCCCTCCCCCCCTCATCTCTCCCTTCTCTATCTCTGCCCTCTTTCTCCCCCCCCTCCTCCTACATGAAGCTGCAGAGCTGTCACCAGGGTCGGGAAATTACACTGACCTGCTGCATACTCTGCCCGCCCCTCCAGCACTCCGTCTTCAGCACCATGGCAGGTATGTGGACCCGTCCCTCTGCTGAAACTCCGAGGAGGAGAGGTGTCTGCAGTGCCTGCCTCACTGTCCGTCCCCTCAATGCCTGCTTATTTCAGAAGCGGCACATTCAGGGATGGACTGAGCCTCTCATGGGGCCCTGCAGTGACCCCGGGTCCTCGGCAGTGCCCGAATGCTCAGTTCTCCTGGTGGAGGTAGGGCTTATTTTTGGGGGAGGGCTTATATTAGCGGTACGTCAAAAAGTACTGCTAGGGCTTACTTTCGGGGTAGGTTTATTTTCGGGGAAACACGGTATATATATATATATTTATATATATACTGTATATATACTAAATGGTCATATGTGGTGGACAGGCTGTGAGACAATTGTGCACAGTAAAGATACCATCATTCCTGTGTATGAGGAGAGGGGGACTCTGCAGAGAAATGAAGAATTCATACAAGAGGTCCATAGGCCTCACAGAGGCCCAGGCTCCCTTAGGTGGCAGTGCTGCCTAGTTTGCCTAGTTGAATCACCGGCCGTGCCTGAGGTACCTCCTGTATGGCAAACAATAAGGGAGGCAGTAAACAATCTCAGTCAAGACCATCTTTTTCCACCACTTTCTTAAGAAAACCCTTTATGATTCTCTAAATTGTTCCACCAATCCATCAGTTTATATATAATACACGGACAGCCACAAGTGGTTAATGGTAAACAGTTTACAGAGCTTCTTCATCAGTTTAGACATAGAGTACCCTGGTCAGTCAAGATCTCAGATTGGACCTTTCTTCTTGTGAACATCTGAAATAACTCCCGTGTGATGACCTTGGAGGAGATATTTCTTTAAGACACCGCCTCAGGATATCTGGTGACAAAGTCAAGAACCACTAAAATGTACAATGTATTAGTGTCTTATAGCTGACTAGATTAAGGGGCCTACGAAGTCCATGGCTATACGATTAAAGGGCAACTTGATAATTGGAAGTTGGTACCAGCGGGCTCCGAAAATGGGGTTGCCGGGTAATATTTGAACTCACAAAAGTCTTTAGTATCCTAATGGTTTCTCACTTTCCAAGATTTCAAATTTGTAGTGATACATAGACCTAAGAGAGAGTCTGCCTGTTATGGATCCGGGTATGACCAGAAATGTGTGGACTGACACAGGAAAGTAGCAGGCTTCAGGAACACAGGCGTAGTCAGGCTAGAGAGGTGGAATGGTCAGGCAGGCCGTAAGGTACTGCAGGTGCCGCCTGGCAGTGTCTCTAGCAGCCCACAGCACGGATTTCCTCAGGGCGCGGGGTCTAAGTCCCAGCCTGCTATTCACCAGGGCCCCTGATGGTGGGGATGGACTTGGTGCAGACTGAACCAGGTCGAGACCCCTGAGTGCGTCCGGCTGTGGTAGAGAGTACTGGCAGGGGAGTGCAGGAACGGAGTCTGATGGGAAGAGGCAGGCAGACTTACTAAAGGTGATCCGTGCGGGATGGATCATCAGGTGAGGTAAGCGTAGTCAGACAGGCCGGGGTCGGTATCGTGCGGGCAGCGTGGTACAGGAGGAGCAAGCAGAGAATGGTCGAGGTCACAAGCCAGGTTCAGCAGGTAGCGGGCAGTGCGGTACCGAGGATCAGGCAGAAGGATGGTCAGGCAAGCCAGGGATTCAACAGGAGACGGTCAGCAGAGGTCAGGATCAAAGCAGGGTCAGCAACGAGGCAGGAACACAGGATACCAGGTACAGGGGCTCATGGGAAAACATACACCAAGGCCCTGATCACAGGCCTGGTCATTCCTTAAATACACCTGCAATCAGCCCCAGGTGTTGGCTGACTACAGGAGTGAGCTTCTGGCTGCTGAGAGCACCCGCTGGTCAGCCCTGGTACTGCAGCCCACACGGCAGGTGAGTCCCACCACCAGTGCTGAGTCCATTCCTGACAGTACCCCCCCTCAAGGAGCGGCCTCAGGACGCTCCAAACAGTCCCTAGTGGGCAAAATGTTCCACCGCCCGGGTCAGGTAACTGGCTGGATATCTTACTACCGGAGTCAACCGGCTGGCTGGCTTTCCTGCTGGCAAACTTCTCTTTATGTAGGGGAAGGCAGGTCGCTGGACACAGGATTTCCAGGAGCAGGCTGGGAATCAGTTATTGGCCAGTTTAGCTGGACACATCAGGGGCTGGCACATCAGGCTGCGCAGCGGACAGAGCACATCTGGCTGGGCAGCGGGCTGGAGGCACGTCAGGCTGGGCAGCGGGCGGAGGCACGTCAGGCTCGGCAGCGGGCGGAGGCACGTCAGGCTCAGCAGCGGTCGGAGGCACTTCAGGCTGGGCAGCGGGCGGAGGCACGACAGCGGGCACCGAGTCATCGGGCAAGTCAGCAGGCACCGAGTTTACTGGGGCAAGTCAGCGGGCATCGAGTCATCTAGCACAAACAGCGGGCACCCAAGTCTTCTGGCATGACAGCAGGCAACGAGTCATCTGGCATGACAGCGGGCACCGAGTCATCTGGCACGACACAGCGGCAACGAGTCATCATGGCAGAACAGCTGCGGCAACGAGTCATCTGGCAGAACAGCGGGCACTGATTCATCTGGCAGAACAGCGGGCCACGAGTCATCTGGCACGACAGCGGGCAACGAGTCATCTGGCGACGACAGCGGCACCGAGTTCATCTGGCAGAACAGCAGGCACCGGGTCACCAAGCTCAACAGCGGGCAACGAGTCATCTGGCAGAACAGCGGGCAACGAGTCATCTGGCAGAACAGCGGCAACGAGTCATCTGGCAGAACAGCGGGCAACGAGTCATCTGGCACTACAGCGGGCAACGAGTCATCTGGCACGACAGCGGGCAACGAGTCATCTGGCAGAACAGCGGGCACCAAGTTATCTGGCACGACAGCGGGCACCGAGTCATCTGGCACGACAGCGGGCACCGAGTCATGTGGCACGACAGCGGGCACCGATTCATCTAGCAGAACCGCGGGCGCCGGGTCACCAAGCTTGAACAGCGGCACCGAGTCATCTGGCACGACCGCAGGAACCGAGTCACCGGGCAAGTCAGCGGGCACCGAGTCATCTAGCAGAACCGCGGGCCGCCGGTCACCAAGGCTTGACACAGCGGGCACCGAGTCATCTGGCACGACCGCGGGTACCGAGTCACCGTGGCAAGTCAGCGGGCACCGAGTCATCGAGCACATCAGCGGGCACCGAGCCATCTAGCAGAACCGCGGGCACCGGGTCACCAAGCTCGACAGCGGGCACCAATGTCACCGGGCAAGTCAGTGGGCACGGAGTCATCAGGCACCGAGTCATCTGGCACGACCGCGGGCACCGAGTCACCGGACAAGTCATGCAGCGGGCACCGAGCCATCTAGCAGAACCGCGGGCGCCGGGTCACCAAGCTGACAGCGGGCACCGAGTCACTGGCACGACCGCGGGTACCGAGTCAAGAACCGGGGCAAGTCAGCGGGCACCGAGTCATCGATCACATCAGCAGGCACCGAGCCATCTAGCAGAACCGCGTGCACCGGGTCACCAAGCTCGACAGCGTGCACCAAGTCACCGGGCAAGTCAGTGGCACGGAGTCATCAGGCACCGAGTCCATCTGGCACGACCGCGGGCACCGAGTATCACCGGACAAGTCAGCGGGCACCGAGCCATCTAGCAGAACCGCGGCACCGGGTCACCAAGCTCAACAGCGGGCACCGAGTCACCTGGCACGACAGCGGGCACCGAGTCATCTAGCAGAACTGCGGGCACCGGGTCACCAAGCTCGACAGCGGGGCACCGAGTCATCTGGCTGGATCCGGTCATCAGGCCGGATCAGGTCATCGGGCATCAGGTCATCAGGCTGACAACGGAAGGCGGGTCCTCAGACCAGCAGGCTGACCAGTTTTAGGATACTGGTAGGATGGTAACTGGTTGGAAAGAATTTTCGCTTCTTGGGTTTAGTTACTGGAGCACTGTAAGTGTGAATGCAGGTCTTGTAAACGGATGGAGCAGCTGAAGACAGGGGAAGAGCCGAAGGATGGAACAAAAGAGAGTGAGCAGTTGCTACGAGAGGGGCTCTCCTTTACAGGTAAAAGGAAGGTTAGGTGCAGCGAATGGGAGCAGGGGACTGACATGTGGTTTAACTTAGCCAAGTATACTGGGCTGTCACTGGGGGAGGCTATGGTAAGTGAGGAAGAGAGCTTTGAGCAGAGGAATGGTTAGAAGCAGGACTGGGTTGTTGCAAGCTGACTGAGGCTGGATGTAACAAATTCTGACCATGTCTGCAGTACTGCTGAACAAAGCTCAGCCTTAAACACAAAGCCTGTCCTGTTCAAAGAGTCTGCACTGTGTTTATACAATCCCTTAAAAAACCTGTGGGTGAACATGGCAGAATAACCTCC